TATCATTACTGGCTTTTATTGTTGCTGCCGGGGCACACTTGTTAACCCGACGTTTGCTTCTGCCCGGCGGCATTTTGGCGCTGCGTTCAAATGAAGCCAGCGAGACGTTGACGGTCCTTGCCTCAGCAGCTGGCAGGTAGTTCGGTTTTCTCACAGGATTTTTCATAGCAGCAATCAAGGCAGCTCCAATGGCTATCACAGTGCAGAGTTTCCGCTCTGGCGCTCCATTTCCCTTTCCGCCTTCAGTTTTTTGTTTCCTCCCTTTTTTCCTGCTTGCCTAGCCAGCTATTCATTCCTCCTCTCCACCATTTATTGTTGTGCTTGTTATGTGCTACGACTTCAGCTAAAATTCTAACTTTTAGCTGCTTTTATTTTTATTTTTTTTGTTAATTTCATTGCCATTTTTATTATTTCATGCGCTTTGAGACTCGTTATTTCTGTCGCTCTCCCTCCCTCTCTCTCTCTCTCTCTCTCTCGCTCCTCCTCCCCTTCTACAGTTGAATATGAGCTTGGCCAGGCAATTTTATCTTTTAATTAAAACTGACGCGTCTGCTCCTTTTATTTTTTCGAGGGTAACACACCACCTCTCACACACACACACATATGTATATGGGTACATTAATTAAGCGTTGTGTTTTTCACATGCCACATGCCAAGGCCAGCGTAAAAGTTAAAACCTCAACATTTGTTTTATTTGGCTGACTCGCATTAAATATTCGCTGCCCTCAAGTGGTTTGAAAGTTCAAAGTGGGCGTGGCAATGCCACTAATTTTGCACAATTAAGTTGCAAAGGGCTGAACAATGGCCACAAGCGAAATGCCGAGGGGTTCAGGGTTCAGGGTTCAGCGAAAGGCTAATTGATTTCAAGCATTTTGGCTTTGCATGTGAAGCATGTGGCAGCTGAAGACGATTTACGGCAATTATGCAAACAATAAGTGGTTAATTGGCCAATATTAAAGATGTTCCTAGGGATAGGACACAAAAATTCCGACAGATTTTTAACCATTTCTCACACAATAATCTTCCTCTAATAAATATGTAAGGAAGTACAGCAAGATTTTCAGAATATTTATAATACAGTGTAATGTCCCATATTTTTTGACTCGAAAAATAGGATAGTTATCTTTTAAGTGCAAATAAATGAAATCAAACTCCTTTTGATTTAGAATTTATAAAGAATATATTTGTTTAATTTTTACCTATTTTTTGTTGTCTTTTGTGTTTTGGATTTTTTATTTTAATTTATTGAATAAAATTTAAATTTATAATTAATTAATTAAAATTAAATCGAATTTAGGCGTTGAAGCAGTTAACACACATCATACTATATTACTTTAATTAAATCGTTTTCTTTTTTTTTCAGTGTAATTTTTATAGTCTATTTCATCGAATGTTTCCTTTAATAACGCAGTCAATATTTGATGCTATTTTGTTCTGTTACTTAAATCTGAGCAGAATATTTGTTGAGTTAATAAATTAAATTTGTAGTTAATTTTTCACCAATAACTAATAGACTAGCACATTGCTTTCTCTCAGTGTATAAGCATACAAGAGCAGAATATTTTCAGAAATTAATTTCGCCATGGACTAAATCATTGTAGATGATGTGTGTCAAATATTAAACCCTCTGTCAGTTCAAGCAGATCAGGTCTTAATAAATTTCAAACCAAATTCCCGCTTTCATAACTTGAGTCATACAAATTTTTTACCGTTTCGTAACGTTAGTCATCGGCCCTATATATAGTGTATATATATGAAGAAAATATTTACCAATAAATCAAACAATTTACATTGCTTGTTTTAAATGTTTATTGATATATGTATAATATATATATATGGTATATTATATTCGCACTATGGAGCGGGAATACAATTTTTATCGCACATCTATATCTGTCTATCAAATTTTCCAAATTTGATTCTAAAATTAATTTTCTCTCTTCTCTCTTCTATTTACAGGTAAGCAATGGCCATGCAATTGATAAGTACACAAGCTCTGTTTCTCCCTTATTTACTAGTAAGTCATTCTGTTTACTTCTTTCGAATTTCATCATCGATACGCTCTTTTCTCCAACAAAATGTTCTCTTTGTTGTAAATGTGCGCGATTCGAGTATTTTTTTTTTTTATTTACTAGTCAAGTTAACGATCATAGAAGAGAGCAAATAGATCGAAAATAAAATATACACAGCGCACACTCACACATGCATGTGTGTCTGTGTGTGTGTGTGAAACAAGCAGTTATAAATAATTTCTGGCAAAAAATCAGCAATTTTTTCCGTTGATCTCCAAGTATAGCGCGTTGGCACCTAGCCAAGGCGAATTGCGCATACGCCGTGTGGTCCGGCCTGACATTTGTATGTGTGTGTGTATGTGTGTGTGTGCGTCTGTGTAGCTGCAGCTGTATGCGTGTGCCCATCTCTGTGTGCCGCGCTCTGGAGCATGCTGTTTGCTCTTAAGTATGCGCGCTAAAGAGCGCACAAAAAGACCCATATGCTAGAATAGATAATAAACAAAATATTTTTCACTTTGTAGCATGATTTTTGTTTATTTAGCTGTTGGTTGGCCAAAAGGCTTGCTGCATCTGCAAGTGCCATTCGCTACGCTAGCTTCGCCTCTTGCTGTCACCACCAACAGCAGAAGCATTGGCAATGATGACAGCCTCGCGCATTAAATCAAATATTCTGCAGCTGAAGCTAATGCTGCTGCCCAGCTGCCGAGCTGCCCAAACTGTCCAAGCTGCCAAATTGTTGTGTCACATTTTCATCAGCTGTTTGATGGCTTTTATTATTTGTGCGCGTCCTCTCCCTCTCTCTCTCTCTCTCTCTCTCTCTCTCTCTCTCTCGCACTCTCTCATTAATTTACGTCTAATTAGTTTTAATTTTTTGTTTGGTTTCAATTGTCCGCAAAACAACAAGGACGTGACTTTGGCAAAGAACTTGCCCGAAGAGCCGCCTGTCATAGATCAAAGTGAAAAATGTCACAAAATCAACGAGCGCAAATAAATATTAGAAATTCGTTTGTATATTATATATGTAAATGGCAATATATATATATATATATATTGGCTGATAATTAGATTGTGTTCTGTTCTCTTGCTACGTGTACAGCTGCTGCTGTGGCACTGAAAAATTGACTGTCAGACATTTTAAGCGTTTTTCAATTACATTTCAACCTCACCCACACAGTGACGCCCCCCAATATGGCGCTGCTCCAAATACACAAATTTTCCGTCGTTCTTGACGACTTGACCAAATTTGGTTGAGATGCGGAATCGATGCCGGCCTTACTGCGCCTCCGGCCGTACGGTTCAACTTAATGCAATAAACACAAAATGCGCAAAACAATAACAAAAAGTTGCTGTTGTTGTTGTTGTTGTTCTTCTCATTGTTATGATTGTTGGCCATGTCGTTGTACTTTTAAAGCCCAGACAGCTTGGTACAATAAAAACAAAGCAAGACATGGCCAAAGTTGCACCCGGCCAGCGTAGGCAAGAGAGTTGGGGGGGGGTGTAAGGGGCCGCATGCGGCTAGCTGCAAGCTGCCAGGGACAGTATGCAACAAGCAGCACAGTTTTTCTTTGCATTTGGCCCCATGCCAAAATTTACCAGAGCAGTGGAGGAGGGGGGCGTTGTTAGCACGGAGCATGTTTCGGGTGCCCAGACCGGCTCTGGGCCTGACACAAAGGCGTCGGACTGTGGCCCGCCCGCTTGTTGTGCCAAATTTAAGACCGCTTGTCCCACAGCTGCTAAATGGAATATTTACTGAACTGCTGTCGTTGTGGCAAAAGGCCTTGGTAAGCATTTAACACTTCACTTTAAATGTAAAGGCGTAAATAATGCGACGCTTTTACCGAGAAAGCGTGTTTATGGAATGACCGACAAAGGATTGAAAAGTGCATCGAGCGAGTTTTTTTTTAAAGGTCGTTAGGGACACGGTCTTGTTTTAAGAAGGTCCATTAAAGTACAAAATACATATTCCATAGCTCAAACTGGACCGAGAAGCTTGTGTTATTTACTACCACTTAAGAATGTCTCAAAGCTTAACAGGAATCTGAACTTTTCGAAATATGCGAATTAAATTTCTTTCAATTTTTTACCGAACAACGAGGCAACGGCCTCCGATCCCAGGCTAGTGTATTGATTTTGAGAGTAGTATTGTAAAATGTAGTTTGCTAGTTTATATTAATAATAAGAATACTAATCATTTATAGTAAAACGTTCCAAGCAGTATGTGGACTATTTTTTTCATGGCATCGCATATTTTTCATGTACTGAAAACTATGCAAATGGTTAGCACAGCAAAAATGGCTGTATTAAATAAAAACATATTTTGCGTTTTGCAGCACTGCAACTGTATTAAGTTGCAAGCACTTAAAAGGCAAAATATGCAAATACGCAAAATATGTTGTACATGTTATATTTGCATAAAGCGGCATAAAAGTTTAACCTAAAACGAAACTGTCTAAGCTGGCTTTTAATAAACTAAATTAAATGCTATTGAATTTAAGTCGGAGATCATGGAGAAATATCTTCTTGAATCCCGGAGATCATGGAGATATGTCGTTTCAAAACGACATATCTTCTTCAATCCCGGAGGTCATGGAGATATGCCGTTTCGAAACGACATATCTTCTTGAATCCCGGAGATCATGGAGAAATATCTTCTTGAGTCCCGGAGATCATGGAGATATGTCGTTTTGAAACGACATATCTTCTTGAATCCCGCAGATCATGGAGATATCTCCTTTTGAAACGACATATCTTCTTGAATCCCGGAGATCATGGAGAAATATCTTCTTGAAAAGCAAAAGCAAACTTATTCGTTATGTCGCAATAAGAGGGAAAATAAACAGCTCGAGTAGCAGACAACTTCTTGAGAGTTTCAGTTGAGAGAATTGTATTCATTTTTAATTTATACACGTTAGGGTCAAGCCTTTCAACTGACCCAAAAAGCGGCATGAATAAAAGATTTGTATTTTTTAATTGTTCAACATTTATTTGATTTATATGTATTTCGATATTGTTTCGTTTGTCGTTTAATTAATTGGATTTTCATTGTTCAGCACTAGCTACACGTACAGTAAATTTCGTCACACATCCTTTATTAAACATTATTTGCTAAAATTATTACATTTATAGATACTAGTATATATTGTATAGGTTAGCTAAAAACTATTATTGTTCAAATGTATGCGTTCATATTTATTATTATTTTAATTGAATACAATTCAATAAGATGTTTTCTTTTTTCGTATATATGTTTGGTTTGCTCGGTTAATACGGTTTTGATTATTCGATAATACCATTTAAAATGTTCTTACGATATGAATACCACTTTTGCCAAGTGCCAAACCTTAAATTCTGCTAACTATGTAAATAAAATGGAAAACTTTCGATACTTTTGAGAAAAAATGTTCAGTTTTAGGGCGAGTGCCAAAATGCACTTGACTTGGCGCAGCAATCCGAAAATGCAATTTCATTTAACTAAGAACTTTTCAATAACTTTGCCTATGCTCATATCAAAGTATAAACGTCTTGGGCAGTAGATAAAACCATAATATCCATTTGGCCAGTCATCTATTAGGCACACACACACACACACACTTAAGCAGTATATAACGAAAATTTAGCCACACTTTGAAGTTTTTGAAGTGAAACACTTTCCCTGCCCTCGGCCATGTCAATTTAAATGTTTGCCCAGCCAAGGCCTCTAACTTTCACCCACTGGCCGAGCCTATTGTAAAGTCTCTCAGCGAATGGGGTCAAGTGTGTATATGGCGCTCAAGTGCTCAAGGCGGCACGAACAGCTCTGGCCCCGCTGCCAGACGAATTGGCTCAAGCGGCCAAAAGAAAACAATAAACTGTGCGGCGTGCCCAAAAACTATAAAAAAAAAAAAAAAAACAAAAAGCACTCGAAATGGGAGAGCGTGTGCGCTGGAAATCAATACAAACTCTAGCCCCCTGCCACGCCCAAATGCATTTGTGCCGGCTCATTGGCGCCGCTGCAGCAGACCGAGTCGCGCGCACAAAAGTAGGCAATGAAATTTTTAAAGCGCCCGTTTAAATTAATAATTATCATTTTATCAGCATGGACACAATTATTTTTTATGTGCCCCAAAGAGCGAAAAGAACTGAATGCTTAAATGCGGCAATGTGGCACGCAAATGAATTGAGTAAATTCGTTTTTTATATTTTTTAATGCAACAGCGCATCGCAACGTTGCAGCATGAACTTTGCGTGTGCGGCTTTCACATTTTGCGCGCCTTAATGCACGTCCTGGCAAGCTGCAGCTCCAGCTGTGTCTTATTGTGTCGCAAAGTTTCATTGTGCTTGAGTGTATTGTGCATTCAGGACAGCGCTCCCAAGACTACCGTAACTAATTAGCGCGCAACCTAGTTTATCAGCTCTTAGCGGGATTTTGTCTTTAGGCCAGCATGCGACCGGCAAGAAGTTTCCTTTGATTTTGAGCTTTAAGTTTTTCACAGTGGTGCTCATTAAATGGCAAGCCACAATGCCCCTGACTTCTGGCCCTGGTGGCCACACAACCCCAGGACCCCTAGACAAATATAATTTCATTGCGCTCGGCCCTCTGGGCGGGCGTTGGCTGGCGCTGGAATGCGTAAACGTTAACGATTAACTGCGCCATGAAAATAAAGCAAAATAAAGCGATTAGAACAATATACAGAAAGATATCTCGCAACATGGCGGGCCCCAAGCACTCGCTGTGGTCCCTGTATCCGTGCTGGGCTTCTGCTTAGCTGCTTGGCTGGTTGAAGCGGCTGGTCGGGCTCTGTGTGAATAGAGTTAGCTAGCTGTGGCACTCAGCCTAGAAGCGAACTCTCCAGATTGCATCTGCACTCTGCTGGTTGCATTGGTTGCTGTGGTTGCTGTGGTTGTGGTCTTGGTCTCCGTCCTATCATTGCCTCATTGCCGTGCATTTTGCCCGTGTCCATGGCAGCAGCTGCAAGTCAGAATAGAGGAAAACTAAAATATTAGTATATAGCCAAGTCACAGATTCACTGGGGACTGCATTAAGAATTCCTGTGTGCTGTCACAGAAAATATTTCAGATGCCCAAAAACAAACACACATACACATGCGTGTGTCTAGCCCAACATCTTGAAATGTTACCAACTCCCATGGATGCATGGGGCGCAATGCGTATACGCCGCGTTAACTGTCAGACTTGACGGAGTGAGGAATTTACATACACAACGCGAGCGTGGCTAGGGCATAGACATCGCCTCGTGAAGCGATGCAGTGAAGCAACAGCAAGACAGCTGGCAACAAGATTCATCAGCATGGCAAAGATTCCTGACATGCAGCTGCGCACACATGTTGCATAATTACATTTCATGTTGCCAGCTGAAGCCGCATTTATAGTCGCATTTGTGCTGCATGTTACCCAATATGTTCCCCAATGCGTTCCAAGCTGGCAGCAAAAAGTTCTACCGCCAGCTGGATGCACATGTGGCGAGGGCGGGGAAATGCTACGGATTTGATATTGTTGATGCGCAAACAAAGACTAACAAAGAGCACATGGGCGAATGAAAATTGTAAAGATATTTATACAAACGAAATTTAAAACACATTCGAAAAGCATTCTCTGAAAATTGCTTCAACATAACTTGAAGCTACATATATATATATTGAATTAAATAAAGCTGCAGTTGTTACATTTTTAATTGGAATGGGAAGCAAATGAAAGCGTTAGGATTTTAACCAAAATGTGCACAAATTCTTATTACGGTATTTATATGGAATTTAAACGGATAAACTGGTGAACCTGATATTCATAAAATTCATAAAACATGATCCGTGCTTAAAAGCTTATACATTATTTTAGTTAAACGGCGTTGGCAGCTCGAAAAATATGCATTGAAAATATATGGCCACACTTATCGAGTTTGTGCAATTAAGTTAGATTTCTTCAGTTGCAAATAACACCAATAAAATGAAAAAAATTATTTAAAGTTATGTTTGCACAAGAAAATCAAATTATTATTGTGGCTACCTAAATATTTGCTTATTAGAAAAAAATTAAATTATTTTTATCTCATGACAAATAAATGTTTATATTTCATTTAATTAGTTACGGCCAACAATAGGCATACATTTTTTTTGTTAATTTTAACCAATTTATTATTTATAGAACTATTTCCAAGTCAATCTAAAAAGCTTTAATTTAATTATAATTAATTGTTGCTAGCATAGGCGCATTTTCAGTTTACGTTTTCTATTGAATATTTCGTTTGAATGAAAAGCTTTTGAATTCAATTGCATACAATTTGCAAAATATCCACCGATTATATAATCTATATAATTCATAATGGATGTTTACAATTGAAAACCGTTTAGCTGTGCTTCTAGCCATGCCTTTGAAATTCTTTTGAAAACATAATAAATTGTTTCTATCTTTAATTATGGCGTATTTTTGAAACAAATTACATGACAACAACAGCAAAAATAAATGTGCATATAATTAAATGAGCATGGCGTTTTTCAAGTGCAGCGGGAAACCGTCGAGGGGCTAACAGGGGAAGGGGACCCCAGGCTAAACGGTTTGCACTCAAAAGCGCTGCAAACACCGCTGCACTGCATTCATATTAAATACGGCAACGAGTGTATTGAAATTTATTTGAGCGAATGCGCTAAAAGGACGAACTAGCAAAGGGCACTCCAGCCGGAGCTCCTCCCCCATGGATATCAGCTATCAACCATGCAGCTGCGGTGGCGAATGTGGTGCAGCGCCAGCAGCCCCACCCCCCCTATCCAACAACCCAGCGCCCGAGCCACTATACAAATCTCTAGTTTGCGCTTATTTCTGTATAGAAATTCAATCAGGCGCTCGGCTGGGCGGCTTTCAATTAAACGCTTATCGCGCGCGTTGCAGCCGCTGCCGGCATCAAAATGGCCTCGGGCGGCGCAAAGGGTTGAGTTATAGACAAATAACTGTTCTTGTACTTACGAGTCGAGCCAGACTTGGTTTCCATTAGACATTAGACATTAGACATTAGAAATGTGTAAGGTTCGGCGAGTTGGAACAAAGCGCAGTCAGGATTGTAATATACATTAAAAAAGTTTTGGGCCAACATATTTTACAAGGCTGAGGAATTTTTGCGTCAACTTTTGCGCAACTTGCAATGGCAAATGTTAAGGGACTCGCAGTGCGCAGCTGATGAATGCGCAACAATAAGCAAATGAAAAGTTTGAGAATTAAGAAAAGAAAACAAGCAAGAGTGTGGCACTCGGGTGCAACCGACTGCCCAATGCTCGTTCGAGGTCCAATAACAATCTTATAATATGCTCGCGCCTAATTTTTTGAAAGCTATAGGGTTTTCCAAATCTTTTAGATACTTAGACGAATTTACGACTGTGGAAGATAGCGGGTTTTTAATTTTTATTATTATTATTATTGCGATTTTTGTATTATTATTTTTATTATCATCATCATCAATATTATTATTGTTATTTTCATTAATTTTCTTATTTTTATTATTATTATTATTTTAATTATTATTAATATTATTATTAGTATTATTATTATTATTGTTATTATTATTATCATTACTAATGTTTTTAATATTACTGGTAGTAAAGTATGCATTCATATATTATATATATTATCAACAGTAGACTTTAAACGCAATTGACCACGCCTCTATAGAGCCTCCCTTAGAGCCTGCCCTGACTTTGTTGCAGACTTATATATAATTATTCCATGTTTCAAGTTTCTTAGTATTTCGACAGAGGTGAAAGAAAAAAGCTTCTATATGAATACGGAGACGGGCGGACAGCAATACGGACTCGGTACAAAGCAAATAAACTCTTTTATTTTTCGGCATGGAGTAGAACAAAAAAAGCCCAAAGCAAATAGAGCGTGTCATAAGAACAGCATGACTCGTGTCTGGGCTGCTAAAACCATTCATAAATTAGACGTCAAAGCCCGGGCTTTGACAGCAATAATACACACACCAACACACACACACACACACACACACACGCGCGCACAGTCAAGCAAACACACAAACGTGCTACTCATATGTAAAAGGGTCAAAAGTGAAAATAACGCACAGCTGAGGCGGTCGAATGTGAGCGATTGGCAACAGCCAGAACAGAAGCAGACACAAAAAAAAAAAAAAAGAGTTGTGCGTTGCAAATGTATTAACACATTTTTTTGTTCTGGCCTAAACCAAATAAATTGGCCAGCGGTTTGGGCACTTGTCGGGCCGAGTTTAAGGCCATCAATTTGGCTGGCACAAATGCAAATGAATGTTAAAATTAACTGTCCAAGCTAACTGGCCACAAAAGTCAATGGAGCGTTTAATATCCTGCAGCGTTGACAGCTAAATTTGACATATCCTGGCGACTTATCGCAGCACACTTCCCACTTCTGCCACACTTTTTGTGTTTTTGCCTTTATTTGCATTGCCTGAAACGCAGGCAGTTGCGTGTTTTGTTTTCGTAACACACACACACACACACACACACACATCTAAGGCAAACAACACACATGACTCGCGGCATAAACATAAATCTCTGACAGCCGTCCAGTTGCCCGCACAGCCCCGCCCACACAAGGAAGCTGTTCAACTGATTACAACTCGCCTCAACTGGCATTCATTCATGGCGCGCATTTCATTCATACGCACCGTTGTACGTGGATGCCACATGGCCGCATGGCTGCTTGGCCAGTTGCCTCTCAAATGCTGTATAAATATTTTGGTGGCACGCACTTTTCTGGCCAGCTTCTGCCTTTGTAGCTGTTGCGTATCGTAAAAATGTCAGGAATTTCACTAACGAGCGAGCGGCATTTGTGTTATGTTTTTTTTTTTTCTTTCTTTCTTTTTCAATTTGCGGCAACTGTTTGCGGCACTTGTGGCGTATGCGCAATACTCGTTATTTCCGCGTTGCGTCTGGTTCAACGTTGCTGGCGCGACTCAGCTCGTGCGTCGGCTGAGCTGCTGTCTTATAGTCCTGCCGCTGCCGCTGCCTTTGCTTCGGCTGCGCATTCGTCTCGGGCATCGGCGCTGCAGTGCGTCGGTTGGCGGGCCGCCGTTTTGTCGGCTTTGTCGAATCTTTGGCATTTGTTTGTGTGTCAAGTGCGAATGCATGTGGAAATTGTTGTCCAGCCGCGTGCACAGAATGTGGTCGCTTTGGGCCTGAACAGACAACAACAACACCACAGCGCATTGCGTTATCAGCCATGTTGTGGTTGTCACATCGTAATGCAAATATTTAAAATATACCCAACGCTGAGCTAGCAAAATGTTGACACTCAGCTAAGCCGCAGCGCCCTGTAATCCACAGATCCCCTCAAATCCCCAATGACCAAAAGAAAAAAATGCTCGCTGATACTTTGACGCATGGGGGCACAAGGCGCCTGATGATGGCAATCAACTTGGCTGCCGCCGTAAATGTTGTTGTTGTTGCTGCTGCCGTCAGTTGGTGCGACATGTAAAGAGGAAGGCCTGGGAGCTGGGCCGTTTGGCAGGCCAGACGTCAGCACAGTTTGTTATTATTTAAATCAGGAAGTTGAAGAAATTTCCGCTCCACACACACACACAGAGAGAGAGAGACAGCAACAAATTGGCAGTAGGCCTGGCAGCTGGCGCCCGACACCAAAGTCTAGCTTCGTCCTGACGTCGTCGTCCTGACTTCCGTTTCGTGTTGTGCGCTCCGTTTCCCTTTGACTATTACGTGCCAGGCAAGTCGCCAAGTCGCCAAGTCAATTAAATTTTTGTTTAAGTGATTTCAGCAGCCATAAAATATCATCAGGCTGAAAGATTGCGTCCAATCTAATGAGAAATCGATGTGTCCCACTCAATTTGTTGAAATCCAATTGGATCGCTGGTCGCGCACCTGGCCTCCCAATTGGCATACACATCCTGGCCGCCTGGCCGCCTGGCGGCCAGCCTGTCGGGCTATTTAATGAGTTTTTATTGCCTTTTTGGATGTTTTGATTGCTGCGATTTTTAACTTGATTTACGCGCCCTTCAGTCCCACTATTGATTTTACAATTAAGCCAGGCTCTGCTCTGGTCGTGGGCTGCCCGGGCGGGGATTGGGGCGTGTTGTTTGCCTCAATTTTACAATGCATATTGCATGTTTTCGCGTGCTTTGCGCATTTGTTTGCGAAATGTCTTATAGCCAGAATGTGCTCGCATACGTTTTGTGAGTTTGTTTGTTTGTTTTTTTGTTTGAGCGTCCTTTGTAGCAAGTTTAATGCGCCGCATCCTGTGCCTGGCTGCCTGCCATTGGATCCGCCTATTTGTAGTTGTGGCAGCAGCGTCGGGGCGCAATTTATGCGGTAATTGCTTTTTTAAGCGCTTCACATTTATCTTTTCGACACAACTGAAATGAGCTTGGCGCTGCCTGTGCGTGTCTTTGCCGATTTGCCTGCAATATTAACAACAACAACAACAACAGGGACAACAATAATAGAAGTCAGCAGTAACAAGAGTTAGCTGAACAATGACAACAATGCAAAAGACTTCAGTTCAACTACTTACAATGGCATTTTTATGACATCTTCTATTTGCTGGCGCCTCGAGGTATGCAATGGAAATATGCCAGTCGACTTTTGGCATTTCGCGTGCCCTTGTTGTTGCTTGGGTAGCATTTTACCCTAATTAATTAGGCGCAATTCAAAAACAGTCAAAAATGACAGAAAAAACAATCTTGCAGATAAAAATTAATTTAATGTGAAAAATTGTGCCAAAAACTTTTTGATTTATGCGCCTTACTTGTGTCGCAGCTGCGAGTATGAGTGGGTGTGGGTGTGTTCGTGTTTGTGTGTATGTTATAACCGTAATATTATATAATTTTATGAGCGAGCGCAAAGTGGCCATAAAAACAGCTCTTAATTAGAGTGGTAGCGTTTTTGACTGCCTTGCGTGTAGAAAAATTATTTTGCAGTACACTTTTGATGTGTCAACCAAATAGTTTTCATACAACTGAAAAGCTACTTTCAAATTTCCTGCGCGTCTCAAACTTTGGCGGGTAACAGTCCAAAGTGGCTTCTAAACTGCGCTTAGTTGTGGCAAACGAGTTGGCAGCACTTGTAAATGTTGCCACAATAACGCTATCTGGCAACTCCGCAACTCGAATTTTTTCGATTATTTTCTTCGATATATGCAATCGATGCTCAGTAGTTAAATTAAACCTGGTTTGTTACACCTTGTTTGTTACTTTTCTGTCAAACTTCGTCGTTGCCGCCCGCCGTTTTGCGCTGTTAATAACGTGTTCACATTAAACAATTGCGCTGGCTGCAATCTGTTAACAGCGGCATATTGTATCGCACCGCGTTCTACTTGTACCGAGCTCGAAAGAAAAAAAACACAACAAACACAAATTTTGTAGGCCACAGCGGACTTCGATTCGTTTTGTGTGTGTCACGCCCAAACACAAGAAACAGAAATAAAAAATAAGAAAAACTCCAGTGTAATTGTGGTGCGTGTGGCGACTGCAAAAGTGCAATAAAAAACATTTACAAGTAATTGTGCGGCAAGCAAATAAAACCGAGACCTTGACAGCTGTAAGAGACTCACAAAAAACAGGCAGCATAAAAAACGCAATGGAGGTTAGTAGTATTATTATTGTTGTTGTTGTTGGCCAGTTCAATATGACAATAGCTCTGTATAGTTGTCAATTTAAATGAATTTTTCATTGATGTTTGCTTGTTTTCCTTGAATGATTTCATTTCATTTATTAATCGACAACAACAAAACTATGACATTCCCTTTTCCCCCTTCACCCAGTTAAAGGCGGTGTGAGAGCTAGGCGGGCAACGATAACGATTACGTCAGTGCGCGCTCTCTCTCGCACACACACACACACACACCCGCTCTCTCCTCCTCGCTCACAAATTTGACTTCTGGAGTTTGCGCTCTGGGCGTTTGCTTATGCGCTCTCCGCTATTATTTTTGTTTTTGTTGCTATACGCATAGGGTTCGTTTCGGGTCGACGTCATCTAACCCCATAGGCTTGTGCCTGGGACTGGGACTGGGATTTATTAATTCCGAGAACCGGCTATAAATTGAATCGTATTATTATTATATCATCACAGAGTCGCTTTCTTTTTCTGAGTCGCCGCTCAATAATAGTTTTTATATAAAACTTCGCATAATTTTGAATATGTACATATTATCAAATTTGCATTTTATATAATTAACAGCTGTTTATTGTTTCTGTTGCGACACGTTTATCAGCGCTCGAAATTAATCACCACATTTGATATGACGTTGACGCCAACTGTTTACCCAGTCATATGCAGATATAATCCATGAATATGAATATTGATTAACCCGCCGCCCACCCACCCGCCTTCTGTGCACGAATCGCTTATAGATAAGCGGCGTTTGGACTGTAACTATGAGTAAAGCCTTCAGATAAAGTTTTGGATTGTTTTGATTGTCCACCTTTCCCAACAAATTAAAAATTTGCTTAAAGCGCTTTTAAGCTTTTTATACCAGTTAATTGCTTTGTTAGCCCTCACTCATCCGATTCCCCAATGCTTAAGCCGCGCTTTTCCTTCCCTCGCAATTAAACCCTTCGCCAGATGAGCATTTGGACGCCCGTCAGAGCGCATTAAGTGTCTTCTTTAAGCTCTGTAATTAATCGCCTTTGTTTTTTTTTTTGTTTTACCATTTGACGGCCATCAAAGCAAAACATGAAAAGCCCCTCGAAATAGGGGCAAATAGAAAAAACAACGATTGTCGGCCAACATTGAAATTGGCCATTTCCGGCATTTAATTGACGTTGTGCACACGAAAAATTGTCGAACAGCAAATGGAACTAGTTTGCCCAACGAGCATGTTGGATGCTTGTGTTCCGCAGATTGAAATGACGATGATGAGTAAACCCGACGGATTATATGTGGACCATAAAAACAATTATAGAACCACAAGTACATATAAACTTATGGCAAGGGAAAGATATAGGTGTTTATATTATTGTACATTTACAGAAATATAGAAATAGGTCACATATATTATTGAAAATATTTATAAATTGCGAATAGGTTCTTCGTAAATGTCTTTAAGATCGAATTAATAAACAGAATATAGCTATGTGGACTTGAGACTGAAAATAGAGCCCGTTAATTCATCTGGCCTCCCTTCATTTGCCAAAATAATATTCTCACCTTCTCACCTGATGCTGCTATATTAATTGCCAAACCCGAAATTTGTTTGCGGATGCCATTAGCTATGGACATACAATGAAATCATCATTGATAAAACAAAGTCAGCCCAAATGCGTATCTAAATGCTAATTGAATACGAGCCCGGCGTAGAGCTTGGCCGAAGTGTGTCTGGGAGTTAAATGAAAATTTGGGAAATCGCCAGCTAATGCCGTGAGACGATTAAAGCTCTTAACATTTTCTTTTGCCTGTTGCCTCAAACTGTCAGCCAAACTTTGTACAAGTTGTTAGCCACTTAAATTTCGCTGTTAACAACATTGTCAGGAAAAAGAAGAGAAAAAAAAGCATCTAAGCGCATCCCAGGCAAAAGCCTTAAGTGTTATCTTCGTTTTTTTTTTCTTCAGCATTATTTTGTGGCTGGAGACTTAAGGGAGTTTGTGGCTGTGTAAGTTCCATGGAAGGCAGCTGGTTGGGCATTTTTTGTTATTACTTGTGAATTTAGCTGGCTTTATGCTTATTTTCATAAATTTCCACTTATTCATCTGGGAGCCTCTGAGCTTCTGAGTTCGGCTGTTCGGCGTCTTATAACACGCTCCGTTAACCGTATTTGGCTTGGATGGGCATTACTTACTTCATCATTCGCTCAAACTTTGCATAATTCTCATTTATTACGGCAACCATTTTTATCTCCAGCCATGAAATCTGCCACATAAAGCGGCATTTTTTATTCCCGGCCAAGTGTCTGGCTGCCAGTCGGTGGCTGTCTGCATTTTCCGGTCTGCTCTGGGTTTCGGGTCTACTCC